CATGATGATTATTAATATTATTGTTATTATTATTATTATTATTTTATTATTATTATTATTGTTATTATTATTATTATTGTTATTATTATTATTATTGTTATTATTATTATTATTGTTATTATTATTATTATTGTTATTATTATTATTATTGTTATTATTATTATTATTGTTATTATTATTATTATTGTTATTATTATTATTATTGTTATTATTATTATTATTATCATTATTATTACTACTACTACTATAATAATAATAATAATAATAATAATAATAATAATAATAATAATAATAATAATAATAATAATAATAATAATAATAATAACAATAATAAAAATAATTATCCTTATCATTATTATTACTACTACTACTATAATAATAATAATGATAATAATGATAACAAAATAATAACATAGCATCAATAATATTAATAATGACAATAAAAAAGTCAATAGTAAAAAATAAAGAAAAAAAAATACTCCTCACCCTTTTCTCCATCCTCCCCCCCACCCTGCATTATCCCCCTCTCACCCCCCCTCTACTATCCCTTCCTCCTCCCCCCTCCCCCCCAATGGACCATAAGCAGCAAAACAAAACCGCCAAACAAGCTATTGGCGAAGACAGAGATAAGGGACCGATTAGTCACGTGACCTAGTTAACGGGTACACGTACTTGAAATCAAAAAGGGAATTTGCGATAAGGGGGATTTGCTACCCCTCTTTTCTCCCCTTTTCTCCGTATTTCATGTATTCATTTATTTTTTATTATTTTTATTTGTTTTTCTTCTTTTGATTCTTTCGTTCTGTTTCCGTTTCTGTTTCTCTGTCTCTCTGTCTGTCTGTCTGTCTGCCTCTCTCTCTCTCTCTCTCTCTCTCTCTCTCTCTCTCTCTCTCTCTCTCTCTCTCTCTCTCTCTCTCTCTCTCTCTCTCTCTCTCTATCCACCCGTTTCTCACTCTCTCCCCTCTCCTTCCCTCTATTTCCCTCTCCCACTCTCTTTCCTCCTCACCTCCCTCTCTCTTCTCTCCCAGTCTCCCTCCCCACCTCTACCCTCTCACCCTCTCCCTTTCCTTACCTTCTCCCTCTCTCCCCTTTCCTTCCCCTCTCCTCTCCTCCTCCACTTTCCTTCCGCTCTCCTCTCCCTCTCCCCCTTTCCTTCCCCTCTCCCTATTCCCCCTTTCCTCTCTCCCTCTCCCTATTCCCCCTTTCCTTCCCCTCTCCCTAACCCCTATTCCCTCCCCTCCCCCTACCCCCCTTTCCTCTCTCCCTCTTCCTATCCCACTTTCCTCTCTCCCTTACCCTTCTCCCCTTCTTTCATCACCTCAGCCCCCCTCCCCCCCTTCACTGACGTCGTTTAGCAGATAAGACACACTTTGTGTAACGAATGGGGGAGGGAGGAGAGGGGGGGGAGGGGGAAGAGGGGGAGGAAGGAGAAGGAATATTTGATTTTATCTTCGAGTTTCATTTCTGTTTTTGATAATGGAAAGGAGGGGGGAGGGAGGGGGGAGAGGGGAGGAAGTTTTTAGAGGGGGGAGGAGGGGGCAGGGTTTTTTAGGGTGAGGGGAAGAGGAAGAGGAAGAGGAGGGGGGAAAGGGGGGGGGAGGGGGCAGGGATGTGTTATTGTGTTTGTTTGTTTGTTGTATTTAGGTTTTCGTTATTATTCTTGAGCGGTTTCACTGCCATTCCGCTGTTTCCTTTTCCTCATTTTCCTCCCTTCACTTTTTCTTCCCTTGCCTTCTGTTTTCCTTTACTTTTTTCTTCCCCTTCTTCCCTCCCTCTCTCTACTTCCCCCTGCTATATATTTTGTTGTTTTTTCTATTCCCTTTCCCCTTCTTTTCCCTCCCTCCCCTTTCTCTTTTTCTCCCTTCCTCCTCTTTTCCTTCCTTTCCCTTTTTCTTTCCCTCCCTTTCCCTTCTCTTCGCTCCCCTCCCCTCCACCTCCCTCCCTCTCCTTTCCTTCTGCTCTTCTTCTCTTCTTTTTCTCCCTTTTCCTCATTTCCTTTTCTCTCCTTTCAATCTCTATTACTCGCATCTCCCTCTTCCTCTTCGCCTTTCTCTTCCCTTCGTTTTCTTTTCCTTCCCCTCCCTCCATCCTTTCCTCTTGTCCCTCCCTTTTCTCTCTCCCTCTCCCTCTTCCCTCTTCCCTTTCCTTCTCTTCCATTCCCCATCTTCTTTTCCCCCATTTCCCTCCTCTTCTCTTAGTTTTCTTTTGTTTTCCTTATTCCTGCTTTGCCTCCTCTTCCCCTCTCCCCTCTCCCCCCTTCTTCCATCTCCTCTTCCTCTTCCTCCTTTTCGTCCTCTCCCCCTCTTTCCCGCGTTTCCCTTCTGCGTCTGCTTCCTTTCCTCTCCTCCTCCTCTTCCCCCTCACCCCCCCTCTCTCCTTCCCTCCCTCCCATCCTTTACCCTCTTTCCTCATTCTCTCTTTCTCTCCTTCCTTCCTTCCTTCATTCTCATCCCTTTCCCTCTTCCCTCCCTCCTCCCCCTCCTTCCCTTCTTTCGTTCTT